GTTTTGTGTCCCTGAGTCTGGCCAGTGATGCCATTGTCCGGCTTGGAGTGGCCAAATGACCTCAGGGGTTAAAGGCACGGCCCAGCACCCCTAAAACATCCCCTGAGTGCCCAGAGCCCAAACCCTGCCCTTTGTGGGGCCCATGGGTGCTCCCAGCACTGCGCTGAAGGAAATCTGGATGTGGCACTTGGTGACAAAGTTGGACTCGATGACCTCAGAGTTCCTTTCCCACCTCGTTAATTCTGGGATTCTGCAAGGCTCGGGGGTTAAAGACACAGCCCAGCAGCCCTAAAACACCCCCTGGGTGCCCAGAGCCCAACCCTGCCCTTTGTGGGGCCACGGGTGCTCCCAGCAAATCTGGATGTGGCACACAGTGATAAAATTGGACTCGATGACCTCAAATTTCCTTTCCCACCTCGTTAATTCTGGGGTTCTGCAAGGCTCGGGGGTTAAAGACACAGCCCAGCAGCCCTAAAACACCCCCTGAGTGCCCAGAGCCCAACCCTGCCCTTTGTGGGGCCACGGGTGCTCCCAGCAAATCTGGATGTGGCACTCAGTGACAAAATTGGACTCGATGACCTTAAAATTCCTTTCCAACCTCGTTAATTCTGGGGTTCTGCAAGGCTCTCTTCCCTGGCCCTGCTGCTCTCAATCTGCTGTGCAATCCCTCCCAAAGGTTTCCTCATCCAAAAATAACTGGATGAGGATTTTGGGTGCTATTTGGACGCCGCTCAGGGAGGCTGAGCTGAACTGAGCGGGGCTGAGCAGAATTGAGCAGGGCTGAATGGGTTAAGCCGGACTCAACGGGTTGAGCAGAACTGAGCAGAACCGAGCAGAGCTGAGCTGGGCTGAGTGGGGCTGAGCTGAACTGAGCAGGGCTGAGTGAATTGAGCCAGGCTGAGCGGGTTGAACCGGGCTCAGTGAGGTTGAGCCAGGCTGAGCGGGTTGAGCCGGACTCAGCGGGGTTGAGCGGGCCTGAGCGGGTTGAGCAGAGCTGAGCAAAGCTGAGCTGAGCTGAGCTGAGCCACGCTGTGCCCGCAGATGAGCCAGGCTGGGCAGAACTGAACGGAGCTGAGTGGGGCTGAGTGAATTGAGCCAGGCTGAGTGGGTTGAGCTGGGCTCAGTGGGGTTGAGCCGGGCTGAGCAGGTTGAGCGGAGCTGAGCAGAACCGAGCTGAGCGGGGCTGAGCAGAACTGAGTGGATTGAGCGGGGCTGAGCGGGTTGAGCCGGGCTCAGTGGGGTTGAGCCAGGTTGAACGGGTTGAGCAGAGCCGAGCAAAGCTGAGCTGAGCTGAGCTAAGCCGAGCCTAGCTGAGCCGCGCTGTCGCCGCAGACGTGCGCGTGGAGCAGTGCTACATGCGCTGGGACGAGGACGAGTGCACGGAGCCGCTGCCGGGCAAGTTCCGCATGGACATGTGCTGCTGCTCCGTGGGCTCGGCCTGGGGCTCGGACTGCGAGGAGTGTCCCCGGCCCGGCTCCAGCGAGTACAAAGCCATCTGTCCCCGCGGGCCMGGCTTTGCCAACCGCGGCGACGTGCTCTCGGGACGGCCCTTCTACAAAGGTGAGGGGAATTCGGGGGTTTGGGGGGATCTTTGGGCTCAGCCCCGCTGCTGACGGGGTTTATAGAGACCCCTCCCCGTCCCTAAACCCCGCTGACCCCACAGATGTGAACGAGTGCAAGGTGTTCTCGGGGCTGTGCACCCATGGCACTTGCAGGAACACCATCGGCAGCTTCAGGTGCATCTGCGGCAATGGCTTCGCTCTGGACGCCGAGGAGAGGAACTGCACAGGTGAGGGACCCTCCCGGGGATGGACTCGGGGCCTTTTTGGGGTGCTCAGCAGGGTGGAGGAGTCCTGGAGCTGATTTAGGG